GGATCCGCGTCGGTAGCGCGTACCACAGCATATTGCGAAGCAGATCTGCATTATATAGAGGCACCGAAATAGCACATCGACCAATGCAGTGGTAGTGAAGTAAATCTCCAAACACAAGGGTATCTCCAACGGTGTCTGCTAATTCAAATGGGATATAGGTTAGTCGATTTATCTTGTGGCAAACACAACTCAAGAATGCATTGTATTGGGTAATAATTGTGGGAAGGAATTTGTCGTTGGGGTGTCAGGATGTGTAACTCATCCCATGCGGCACTTTGTGACCTCTGATAAATCGAATAAAATAAATTGAATCCACCCTATAAAGTCAAAATTATGCACCTAAAATTTTCCATAATTTGACTTGAATTGTCAATTGATATTTGCAGCTGGTCCATAAAAGCATAGTTTTCCGTTAAATTCCTTGTGCATGCATTGAATAAGACCACTAGCCATGATGAAATTATAATCAAATATAGTAGTAAATGCTGTATTTTGTAGAGAAGACAGCGTATAATTTAAACCTAAACAAGCATAATGTTCGCGGGACAGTGTTGGTGGGTGGATGGATACATACACTGAATGTGTAAAGTGTGTGAAGACGCATTGTTGGCCAAAAGTTAAACAACCTTGTTAAACGGAATTGGACGGTGGCATGCTACGCGGCGGTGCAGGCGACTAAGTCAATCGGCACAGAGGAGGAAGTGAATGTGACCATAGGCATTTGATCGAATCGCGCTTTCATCGTGCTGGGTGAGGTGGCCCGAATACATGAAGGGAGGGCTCTGTGGGACAGACTATCAAATCGTTACAATGGCTGATGGCTAGCCAATATTGGTAAAAAAATTGAAAGTAGCAATTTGTCTCCACTGGTTTATCACCCCTGTACACTGACGGGAAACTTGACAGCCACATAGCTACATAGGAAATAGAATAGATGCGTGAGAAATTGGGGTGGGTTAAGACACGAACAGATCGTTATAGCTTTCATCTCATCTTCCTGTAGAAGTCCGCTGCACTAGAGAGCAAGTCCTTTCCGTCTAATACTTTGAAATATGCTCGTTCCTAAAATTGCTAGATTTCTACCTTTCCTGCCTTATTTAATTGGTAAATATCACTCAGTAACAAAAATTTTACCTACTAGTGCTCACTAAGAGGTTAAGGTCATTTCGACTTAAACAAATGCATGGCGAGACTCACAGTTCTCCTCTTCTCTGTTCCTAGTGCGCTGAGAACAACCCGGTATATTTAATTTCGACATATTTATTGGGAGATATTAATCAGGAGAACAAATACAAAGTTTAGGGAAGGGAAAAGCGCAATTGCACTTAGGCACGGGAGTTGACGACCCTGTCATCAGATTCGAATTACACCCTTGTCTTCTCCCTGAAAGGCTTTTTTAAACAGCATAAGTATTACGCAAATTCACAAGGGCGAAAGACATGCTAGGGCCCGAGTCCTGCTAGAAAACATATAGACACACGCCGCACCAGCAATAAGCACACTATCTTCACCAAAGACCTCTTTTTTCCGAAGTTCACCTCTCTATTACCTTATTTGGGAACTCGGCATAAAGAAGGCCCTCCCGTTTTCACTG